ATGGTAGCGTAGATGCAGGTTTTGAGGTTGTGGTAGTAGATATAGGTGTTGATGATGTGGTAGTGGGTCTTGGTATTGAGGATGGTTTAGATGATGTAGGTGTTAAAGTTTTGGTTATTGATGTTCGTGTTGACGATTGTATTGTTCCAGTTTCTGAAGTTTTAAATGTTTTTTTCTAAGGAGGATGTGGATATTGTATGTGATGTTGAGGAAGTAGTAGTCATGGGTGATGTTAATGATATAGATTTAGGGGTTTTGTTGGTAGATGTTATAGGTTCTTTGGATGTGGTTGTTGGTATTAGGAAGTCTATTTCTTCATCTTGTAACTGTTCGTTTATGAATTTTGCAACAGAAATCCAGTCGCATTTCATAACTTGTGGTGCAATGAATTTAGTTGGCTTCACACCGGATGCTCCTTTTGCTTTTGAGGTCGACATCTTTCTAACACAAACAATAAAAATAAATTATATATGAAGGCATTACTTTTCATGCAAACTATTGAATACAATCAAAACCAATTTACATGAAGATGATCAGAGAACAAAAAATGATCGATCATCACGACAATAATAAATTAAATAAATATAAATTTTAGATGAGTTACAACCTGTATCACCAAAGTCAGTGCACAAACGTATAATGAACAAAGATTTCGATCAATAAGCCACCAGAGATGATGATTACAGAAAATGTAAACACTCTTTCAAATCGGTAAACTTAATTACCGTAATATGTAGCATAAACGTGTGTAGGTTAGAAGGAAATGAATTGTGAAAAACTTTTAACCTTCGCTAATAAAAAATTTAAACTGTGCTAACTACCGCTAAATATTTAGTAATTGAAATTTATTTAAAGTAGTTACAGATTGATAGATAGGGTATATACATATAAATAACGTCAAGAAAGAACATAGAGTAACGTTTTGTTCATAGTATAATTTTAACTTAAAATTATGTACAAGGACTAAACATTAATAAACTATACATCTTTATGCTTTCTGTTTAAACTGAAATTTCTATACAAAAGACATACTGGTAATGTCAATATATATGATAGTGGCTTATGGTGTCTATGGATGACATATGGGCCATTGGTCGAAATGGTAGTGGCTTATTGTGTCTATGGATGACATATGGTTGATGGGTCCACATGGTAATGGCTTATGGTGTCCACGGATGACATATGGATGATATATGGGCCATTGGTCCACATGATAATGGCTTATGGTGTCCATGGATGACATATGGTTGATTGGTCCACATGGTATAATGGCTTACGGTGTCCATGGTTGACATAAGGATGACATATGGGCAATTTTTCCACATGGTAGTTGCTTATGGTGTCCATGGATGACATATGGGTCATTGGTCAACATGGTAGTCGCTTATGGTGTGATGGTGTCACCCATGGATGACATACGGGTCATTGGTCAACATGGTAGTTGCTTATGGTGTGATGATAAACACCATGGATGACATACGAGTCATTAGTCAGCATGGTAGGTGCAAATGGTGTGATGGTATCACCCATGGATGAAATACGGGTCATTGGTCAATATGGTAGTTGATTATGGTGTCCATGGATGACATATGAGTCATTGGTCAACATGGTAGTTGCTTATGGTGTGATGGTATCACCCATGGATGAAATACTGGTCATTAGTAAACATGGTAGTTGATTATGGTGTCTATGGTCATTAGTCCACATGGTAGTTGCTTATGGTGTGATGGTATCACACATGGATAACATATAGGTCATTGGTCAACATGGTAGTTGCTTATGGTGTGATGGTATCACCTATTGATGAAATACGGGTTATTGGTCAACATGGTAGTTGCTTATGGTGTGATGGTCTCACCCATGGAAGAAATACGGGTCATTGGTCAACATGGTAATTGCTTATGGTATCCATGGTTGACATATGGGCCATTGGTCAATATGGTATTTGCTTATGGTGTCCGTGGATGAAATACGGGTCATTGGTCAACATGGTAGTTGATTATGCTGTCGATGAATGACATATGGGCCATTGGTCAACATGGTAGATGCTTATGGTGTGATGGTATCACACGTTGATGACATATGGGTCATTAGTCAACATATATTATTTGTGTCGGCTGTGTATTAAAATTTAAAATTTTTAAATACTTAATTTTGTAGGAAATATTGATTTTTTTAAATAATTTTATTAATAATTTTGGGTCCCTGATTAATCGCCGCTGAGTCTGATTAATCATTTATCGCCAGTAAATCGTCGAGCGATCGACGAGCGATTTTTACAACCTTGATTAATGTAGAAATTGATTTTTCTTTTAAATATGACTTTTTACAAAACTACCCTTACTATTTAAATACGAGTCATTGTATGTATTAGGACAATTTGGTCATTTTACAATGGAACATCTTCTAGGCGCCAAAATGTTTTCCGACGAAACACATTGTTTCAGTTCTTCACTCTTATTTCAGTCACTTTGAAACAAACCCAATTTAAAAATTACGATAGACAAAAAACCCTAAAATCAATTTCGCAGAATCGTTAACTTAGTGAATGTTTATTATTATGGAAGCCAATACTTCTTCTAAGATTCAATCAAGAAATTAAACGAAATAGCTAACAGACATGCCATTTGAAGTGATGGAGAAAATAATAGTCGACTTGGCAAAAATTTCAGCAGTCGAGGCTACCAGGATGAAGAGTGTGTAAGTTTTGCCTTTGATAATTCTATTTCACAATTCACAAGTGTATTTAAGTTGTCTTTACATTATGGAGTGAATATTGTGTTTCGTTTGCAGTTGCAGATTCTTCAATGAGGCAGGAAAAACGGATGAAGTGTATAAAAATATGGAGGTAGATGGATTACAATTTCGTGTTTGGTCTGATCCAAATATTCTTCAACCAGAAACATGAATTTGTCAATAAATGCATAGAGATGAGAAACCCAAATATTCTATTCAGTAATGGATTGGTACGTTGTTATATATATGCATAGAAGTAATTAATCTGTTACTTGTTTTGCATAACTTTAACTAGAAATTATGTGTTTAATGTTTTTTTTTCTAGATAAAGTTATTTTTCTTAGAAGTTGAACATGAAGGGAAAACGATGCTTGAAGAAGCATCTGCATTGGGACATCTGGATTCAACATTTGTAGTGGGAATGTTGCTGATGGCTGAAGGGAGACATAGGAAGCAGAATGCTTTGGAAATGTGATAAGTCTACTTTATGAATGTACTAAATTGTCATAAATTTGTTGAATTGATGTATAATTGTCCAAGAATGGCACTACTTTGATGAGTTGTTGGAATTCATATGCAGGTCAATATATTGTACTAAAAATGTGTAGAACCCGCAAGAAAACTGAGCAAAAGGAAGCTAACGAGCATCGGAGACGAATTGCTAAAGGAATGAAGAAAAATGCTACTGAGAAATTTGAGCACTCTTTAATGTTTTGATCATATATCAAGATCTATAGCTCTGATTGACATGAAGGAATAAGTTTCAGAAACTAGACAAAATTTTCTAAAACTTTCATGTTTTGTGTTTTTACTGATTCTACAGTTTTCATCACCAAAATGGAGCGACAAATATGAGGGACGTCCTAGAACGCGTCTATGACGCACCCTAGGATGCCTAACCGTTTTAGGCCATTTTCAAGTGCAAATAAAGGATGGCAGAAAGCCTGTAAAACACCAAGAAGGATGCCCAGACATCCTACAAGACGTCTAAGATGCCTACTATGACATCGATGCAGAAAACAGCTCCGAAAATCAGTTTTTCAGCACCTATTTAAAGGATATTTAACCCTAATCGAAATGGGACTTCTCCCCTGCGATTTAGCCCAGTTTTGGAGGGTTCCATATTCAAACCTTCTCCAAACACTTTTTTGATCACTCCAATATGGATTCGAGATGAGAAATCATCAAGTTCATCAGGATTCAACATTAGAAGATTGTTCAACCAAGGATCTTCATCATCTCCACTACAACTTTAGAATTTCCTTAGTTATCCCTTAAGGTTTTATTGTCTCAAGCTTTGATAATGATTAGGTTATAATTGTTTCATGATTTAAAGTTTGTTATTAGATATCATTATGCATTTTATTTATTTCATCCAAGTTATTTGTTTTATGAAATCAATGGAAGACTAAACCATTAGGGTTATTTCCGAGGATGTTAGGACTTTTGGATGAACACACTTGATTATTACTTGATTCTAGTTAATTTCAATTGTTGTTTTATGCTTCATGTGATGATCTTTTGTAATGATAATTGAAATTGGGCTTTATGAATTTGTTTGATGTCATACATAAGATAGTCCATTGTTAATTCATCATTTGTTCCAAGTTCAAGTAGTTTATGAATAAAGAGAAGTGATTGCATCAACATATATTATTCCAACTTATGATATTGAAACTTAATATGGTAATTGGTAATTGTAAAACACTTTATTGCTAATTCAATAATTGTTCCTAATCCATTTAGACATAAGGAGTAAGACAACTAGTTGAATGAACATATTCTGTGCCCAAAGTTATGTGTTACAAGATAATAAACCCCAATTGCATTTAAGTAAGTGAACTAGGATTATAGGGAAGAAAGTATGTGAATCTAAACTGTCCATAACTGAGCCAGGAGTACCTTGCCTTTCTCATTGAGAGTTTCGTTTTTATTAATAAATTTCCAAGTTTTTGTTTGATCTTTGTTTAAATCTTTTTCGTCATAATTGCTAGTATTAGTTTTTCGTTAACTATTTTAACACAAAGTTTGACCACAGCCTCCTCGTGGATTCCACTCTTACATACCCTAGCTATCTAGTGTGTGAGAGGTTTATTTTTGACCGAGACAATGACCTCGATCAAAATTTGGCGCCGTTGCCGGGGAGATTGTGCGCTTAAACTATTGTGTTGAAGTAGTCATTACATTTTCTTTTTATTTTTTAGTTTTCTTTTTAATTCAGAATCTTCACTCTTTTACTAGTTTTTGTGTAGGGAAAGTCATGAATGGAGGAAAATATTTACATCAATCAAGACATATGGTGGGGGAGCGAAAATTGGAGCGAATATCAATACAATAAGGATCAATACAATGAATATTGTAATAATGATCCATATAATGATGATTGTTGGTGGACTGGTGATTCGGCTCAAAACCAACACCATGAATCACTTTATTTCTCGAAGGACCAAGAATCAGATGAATCTTCATTCAGCAAGAAGTTGGATCAAATGTTGTATATGTTAAATGAAATCTTCATCAAAGAAGAAGACAACTCCAAATCAATTTCGGCTATTGAAAAACAATTAGAACATATAGCGGAGAAATTAAATGAACAACCTTCAGACAATATTTCAGACACTACCCAAGTAAATGAGGTAAGTTTTCTCTGCAATGAAAACGTTGTGCATAATCCTACACCACCCAAACTTGAGGTTGTAGTGGAGGATGATGTACCTTTAAATGATAATGATACCCAAAGGATGTTCGAAATTAAAGAAGCTGTAATTGAATTTGAAAAGTCTAATGAAGAGTTTCATGAGTTGGAAGAGTCCAAAGTTGGGGAGGGGTTTGTGGAGGCTAATACCACCCCCTACCCAACAATTTTGAAAAAACCTGAAATACAACTTCTTGTTGTGATAGTTTCTTAAAAAATTTCCAAATACAAACACACAAATGTAACCATCTATGCTCCGATTCATTGTCGGGAATATGCAATTAATATGATATTTGGAAAACATACATTGAGACTCCTATTATTTGGATCTACTAATGATCCTCCAATCAGTGGTGACCTGTTTGTCATCAATACTATTGATGATTATATCTACGAGCATACCGGAAATATGCTCTATGACACCATCCACGATTTGGAGAAACCTTTACCTTGTCACAGATTAATAGAGTTGAATGAGATCGGATGTTGATGTGCACGAAAGTACCCATTAATTTTAATATTTATAACCTAACAAACTTAGACTAACTATGCACTTATAGGCAGTGTACCTAGTCAGATTATAGTATAGCTTAGGTAAGTCGGGTGTCGATCACAAGGAACGGTGGATTAATTTAATATATTTGATTATAGGTTACAGGTCACTCGAAAAGAATAAAAGAAATAAATTAATAAATCTCAAACTAATAATTAATTAACAACTCTCGATAAACTAACAGGAAAAACAAATCTCTTCAGGTACTTTGGTTTAGACAAACTCCACCTTAAAAACATAGACAATTGCATACACAAATTCATTTATTCATGTTCACCGATTCCTAAAATGATTAGATTCGCGTTCACTATAACTAATCCTTTAGCAAACAAGTCAATTCAAACAGTGATCAATTGGTTAAACTAACATGCTTCCTAGTGTTCAGTTCGTATCAAGCAAGACTTGCAAATATAGTTAATCAAATTAGACATTCAATTAACCTCTTGTTGATGGTCATCAAAAAAGGCTCACACATTAACTTACTTATTCCCATGTTAATCCTAGTTTCACATTCGTTATTCCTAGACTTATAATCTCGATGGTCATCAAAATCATAAGAGACAAGCAATCAAGCATATGTTCATACAACTCAATTCACTTAACAATTAACAGCAAATAATTATCATTAATACGTAAGGATCTTTTAACAAGCTTGGCAAGATAAATTAAACACAAACAAATATTCAATATAGCAATTAGTCTAATAATCAAAGCTTCATTCAATCATAAACACAAAGTAAAAGGTTTTTACACCCAATCAGAAACTAAATACAGAATAGTAACACAATGGAATGCTAAACATGGTCACGTTAACAACCCATATGATTACCGACACGTATCCGCTCTCCAACCCTTCCGATCTCCGCTCCCGTTAGCTTAACGGCCTTCCGGCCACCTCCTAGACCCTCAAAACGGCAACTATGAAGTTTTCTTGTTGCACAAGTCGAAGTGGAATATCATAGATTATGAAAATGGTGGAATGATATGGGGTATTTATAGTTGATGGAGATGGAATTATATGGAATATTAGAGTTGGAATGGAATAAGGAAACTAATGTGGCTTAGGGATTAAGCAAATAAAGATAAGGAAAGTGGTGCTTGGGGAATAAGTAACTTGGAGGGAATTTCCGTCCAGCTTTTATGCTTCATCTTCAAGGCCGATTTTGGATAAGATAAGTGTCGAATTAGCCAAAAGTCCCTCTCACATAAGTCGTAGGAAATTTCGTCTAGTTTTCAGAACATTTTGAATCTCGTCAATTGGACTTGTGACTCATCAGATATATCCGAAACACAGAAGAGGGGTCAATCTGCCATTAATATCCTTTTTGCATCTTTTCAGCTCCATTCTCTTTCTTTTGCATTCCATCTCCCATTTTAACTGTAATTAAATATTTCAAAGCATATTAAGTTTATTTTAGTTCTAAATAATAATAATAAATGCGAAAATATTAAGATATGTTATACATAAATATATATAAAAATATACATATCAAAATACCCCACACTTAGCCTTTGCTTGCCCCCAAGCAAATTTACTTTTATTTTACCAATATTGCACTAAACAATCCATTTAAAACTCAGCCATTATGCCAAGACCTCAACGCATGCATTTGTGTCTAAAATTTTCCTAAAGTACCCCCCTATACTTTAAATACTCACAATCTTCATAAACACTTGCCTACTTTTTCCGAACAATGCTCATTTTATGCAACCCTCCGAATCCATCCATAGAAAACCTCCTAACCTCAAGGTATTTTTAGTTGAGCAACCTAAGCATACATAATCTAGAATTACAATTTATGATACCACTATGGAGCTTTTTAGGAATTCTTTACTTTCTTAACAATTTGATCTTTGATTTCTTTGAATTCACCACCTTATTTGATTTGATTTCTTGGTATCTTCAACTTTTTGAATTTCTTGGAATTTTGGAATTTTGATCTTCACTTTATTTGCTCCAAAATTCTTCAAACCTTTTCGTAATTCTCTCTTTTTTTACATGTACCTCTCTTTTTTCACTCAAAACCTACATGCTTAAGCAGAGGCGCTCAACCTCAACCTTTATTGGTTAATGATAATAATTTTTCTGGATACATTTCAGGTTTAGGCTGCTAAACATATTGTATCCTTCAAACCAAGCGGGGTTATGTTTTTGTTCCATGATTTCACTAAAATAAAAGGGAAGCCACAAATGCACTATAACGTATATTGGCTCAACTAAACATTTGAGTTCTTAGCGGATCATCTCATACAATATTAGCAAAATTTTAAATTATCACTAGATTTTTCTAAATTTAACTATTATTTCAAGTTTGCTTTTAAATTTTTAAATTTCCCTAAATCTAGCAATTTCCAACTATTATTTCATTTTTATAATTTACTTTTACCGACCCCCTACCCCACACTTATTTCATACAATGCCCTCATTGTATGCTAAAACAAATTAAGAACATAAAAAGGGAGAAAAAGGAACAGACTCCCCTGGGTAGTTGTGGCGAGATCGAATGGGGCTGCTACAGGTTGCTTCAAATATTGCTGAAAAACTGAAAACTGGAACTGTTGCTTCTGAATGTGCCGTAAAATACAAAAGAACATTGACTTATGAAATATGGTGCGAACGATTGAAAACTAAAGCAATGTATAGTGACCATGACGTGGGAAAGTGTCAACCACATCGTGTCGTCGAGTGAGGAAAAATCCATATCGCGAATAATAGCATGGCCAGGACGTGGTAAGTGGTGGTCACGTCGTGGTATGTAGAATAGCAGCCTCCTCTCGCGATGAAAAACTCCCCCACGATATAGGAAAGTGTCAACCATGTCATGGCAGCCGGGATGATACTTCTACATCGCGTCAAAATAAAACTCCATGGTGTGGGAACAGCTCATCCATGCCATGGGAATCAATGTATAGTTAGAAACGCCACTCTTCGAAATAATAATCCCTCCAAATATCAACACGCACCCCACACTTATTGAAAGTCATGGCTCTCAAGTGTCAACTTCAAACCCTCACACAGTTTTTTCTCTCGTGACAAATCAACATTCGACCCCAATTATTGAAATTTCTGAAAGCATCTGGAGGGTAAAAGTTTTGCAAAGATCTGAAACATCAAGAGCATCAACATGGAAAACAAATTTTAAACAAACTAAAAATAAAAATAAAACTCACTAAAATAACTAAAAAACCAAAATAACTAAAAAGGATATCACGATCACATGTCTTCGCCAAAATCAAACTACAATTGTTGATTAAATCCCTTGCATGCAAGAGGTGGTTTGCGAAAACAAAAACTTTCGGGACCTGTCAGACTATTTCCTTTGTTTTCTTTGCACCATTAACTAATAAGTAGAACAAGAGTTGACCCAACTAGTCAAGAGTAGCAAGAGTTCAGTCTTCCACTTAACCACCTCGATACGCCTTGCTATACTACGCCTCGTGGATTGAGTTGGACAAATCACCAAAGTAGTAGACTAAACAAGTCAAGAATTCCCTAATCGCTTGCAATCACGAAACCCATCCAAAAGGTAAAGCCAATCGATGTGTATGATCACAAATTCCTGCAAATAACAACAAGAACCTTCCCGACAAGCGAAATGATATCAATGAAAATAAAACTAAAAAAATAAAATAAAATAACTAACTAAAAATAAATAACGAATAATCAAATAAACTAAATTAATTGAAAGCCGTTCCCCGACAACGACGCCAAAAACTTGATGTGCACGAAAGTACCCATTAATTTTAATATTTATAACCTAACAAACTTAGACTAACTATGTACTTATAGGCAGTGTACCTAGTCAGATTATAGTATAGCTTAGGTAAGTCGGGTGTCGATCACAGGGAACGGTGGATTAATTTAATATTTGATTATAGGTTACAGGTCACTCGAAAAGAATAAAAGAAATAAATTAATAAATCTCAAACTAATAATTAATTAACAACTCTCGATAAACTAACAGGAAAAACAAATCTCTTCAGGTACTTTGGTTTAGACAAATTCCACCTTAAAAACATAGACAATTGCATACACAAATTCATTTATTCATGTTCACCGATTCCTAAAATGATTAGATTCGCGTTCACTATAACTAATCCTTTAGCAAACAAGTCAATTCAAACAGTGATCAATTGGTTAAACTAACATGCTTCCTAGTGTTCAGTTCGTATCAAGCAAGACTTGCAAATATAGTTAATCAAATTAGACATTCAATTAACCTCTTGTTGATGGTCATCAAACAAGGCTCACACATTAACTTACTTATTCCCATGTTAATCCTAGTTTCACATTCGTTATTCCTAGACTTATAATCTCGATGGTCATCAAAATCATAAGAGACAAGCAATCAAGCATATGTTCATACAACTCAATTCACTTAACAATTAACAGCAAATAATTATCATTAATACGTAAGGATCTTCTAACAAGCTTGGCAAGATAAATTAAACATAAACAAATAATTCAATATAGCAATTAGTCTAATAATCAAAGCTTCATTCAATCATAAACGCAAAGTAAAAGGTTTTTACACCCAAATCAGAAACTAAATACAGAATAGTAACACAATGGAATGCTAAACATGGTCACGTTAACAACCCATATGATTACCGACACGTATCCGCTCTCCAACCCTTCCGATCTCCGCTCCCGTTAGCTT